ACGTAGATTAGTAATAAGTCAACTAATGGATAAAATATGGGCTTCTAATATATCAAATAAATCGATAAATTGCTGTATAGTGATATTTACTCAATATTCCAAACTAGATGTTTGGTATTTAAGGAGACCGAGAAAAGCTTTCGAATGCAATATGATGTGAATATGCATGAAGTAATAATAAGTTTAGAACTAGTGGGGTGTATGGCATCGTGCCTTAAGGTAAATTGCTGGAACTTCCCGTACCGTAACGAAATATTCGAGGAATAGTAAATGTTTTCAAATAGAATATTTATAAGAATTATATAAGCTGAATTGCAAAGTTGAAATTATTTGTTTAAAGTATATTAGAACTTTAGTCAGAATTAAAAATAAAATCTGAATTATTTTCGATATACAAAAAAAAAACTAAAAAAAAGAAAAAAAAGATACATTTTTTTTCCAAAATCAATTGTTTTGTTGAAACAAGCTGAAAGTTCTTTGAATCATTTGAATTGGACGCTTAGTTCTTTCAAAAACTGCCATTTTTTACACATTTAGCTCTGTATCTTCGAAATGGCTGGGCCTGCCATTGCCAAAAACTAATAATCACTTCTCCCAATCATTACTAATTGAATGTTTTTTAGATCATTTTAGAAACTCAAATTCTATTTTCTGCACTCTTTGCTCCGAATCTCCGTAACGGCTGGACCTGCTTCTGCCAAAAACTAATCAGCACATCTCCCTATCAATAGGAATCGAATGTTTTTTTAACCATTCAAATCGGTTGATCCGTGCGCCCGAAAACGTGGACGAAAAATTGTATCCATACATACATACACACACACACATCCATTTTTTCTGAGGTATGCCGAGAAATGTAAAAATTTTCAATTTCGATTTTCGGCCCATTACAATAACTTACCCTACGGGAAGTTAATAAGCAATAAAATATATTAGGCCCTATGTTTGAATCTTCACTATAAATGGAAATAAAAGAAAAATAAATCCTTAGAATGTCATATGAAATGTGTCGAAGTTGTTCAAATATTCAATCCGAAACTTTGTTCAATATTTTCTTCCATCATAAAACAGATATCTAAAAGAGAAATATATAAAACATGTAAGATGAAATAATATGTGCACGTGAAAGTAATCTTTCATAGAGTATTGTGTTCCAAATAATATTTTCTGGCAGAGCAACAACACGCGCACCGTTCAATAAAATATTGGCAAAACGTGCAGCAAATAGACAAGGGTTGACAGCAGCAGAGAATTGTGTTTTGTTTGTTCTGCGGCAAGCGAACTCGATTCATGTGCGCGCGTGTGGCGCAAGAAGCTTATCAGCGGTAAGTAATATGCACGGCTATTGCAGCACAATGCAGACAATTGCGGCAGCAGTGGAAAAGTTATGCAAGTCGCAGCACTGGCTAGCGAGGGCACGTCGCCGACGTAGAAAACCTCCCTTGCTCCGTGTCTGCAAACATAAAACACAGAACACTCGTAAACTCGGTAAATATGTACATAAATAGTACTCCGGCAGACCGCGTTCGGTTATTCGACTGTTCTGTTGCACTAAACGCGCTGGATTTTATTTTAGAAAGAACAAGGACACAAAGACAAGCTGCATGTGTTCAATAGACATAATTGTTTTTCTAGAAACTAATAATAACACCACTACTAAGAACAGGCTTCGCTCTTAGGATGATAGAAATATAAAAACATGCTTATGATGTACTGCATACGACGTTGTAATTTGTCTAACATACATAGATGAATCTATGTTGAAAAACGTAAGTTATTATATATGATGTCTATGCTGGCTTCAGACAACTAGCAAACAAGTAATCTCGCAAACTAGCATTTGCAGAATATTATTCTTTCTTCATTAAATAATAATTTTTAGTAAATTTTGAAACGAACAATAAGTAAAACATTTGGTAAAGATCTGAAGCTGTTAAAAAATACAAATAATCTGTACATTGCCAGTAATTCTCTAAAGGTCTTATTAACTTCCCGAGGGCAAGTTATAGTAATCGCAAAAAAATCGAAAATGAAAATTTGTATATATCTTTATGTTTCAAAACCTTCGGAACATTTTGGCATACCCTAGAAAAAATTTATGTATGTGTGTGTGTATGTGTGTTTGTGTATGTGTGTTTGTGTATGTGTGTGTGCGTGTATGTGTGTGTGTTCGGATACAAATTTTCGTCGACGATTTCGGGAACACGGATGAAGCGATTTGAATAATTTAAAAAACATTCGATTCGTATTGATAAGGAGACATTCTGACTAGTTTTTGGCAAAAACAGGTTTAGCCGTTCCGAAGATACGGGGCAAAAAGTGCCAAAAACGGTAACTCAGTTTTTAAGAGAACGGAGCATCCGATTTTAATAATTCAAAAAACATTTTACTTGTATTGACAAGATAAAGAATTGATCAAGTTTTCATGAAGGCAGGTCTAGCGGTTTCGAAGATCCAATGAAAAAAGTAAAAAAAAATACCATTTGGCGGTCAAAAATAATCATTAGACATATGCACTTCAAATTATCAGATATTTTATGGAGATTTTAACAATAAGTATAAATTCTGTTTGCATTGCAATGGGTTCTATACCAATGCCTATTCGTTAGACGGCGACGCGGCGCTTACGCGCTTTGACATTTTGTCTTTATGCAGTTAAAGCAGTACGATTGCTTTGAAAAAGTTCAGAATTTCCAAAATATATTAAAATAAAGAAAACATTTTTTTTCCAAAAAAAGTAATTTTTTATCAAATTCATAGTTTCTCAAAAATCTAATTTTTTCGAAGTAAAATTTTTTCAAAAATGTTTTTTGTTTTTAATAATATTTGGTACGGGAAGTTCCAGCAATTTGCCTTAAGGCTAGATGCCATGCGACCCACTAGTTTATTGAATTTGATGATTAATGCAAAAGAAACTTTCTTTTCAAATTGACCCTGGTAGTATTGTGGCGGAGTTTTCAGGGGGGCAAATTTCTGTGATTACTGACGACTTTTGTACTTGTAGAATACAAGTTGTATGAGGGTGTGCTTATTCCATCTTTGACTATGCCAAACGCCTCGTCTAGCAACTAATTTGAAACATACTTTGATGCTTTCAAAATTTCTTTTAATAATTTATTTTGCAATGTTTGAATTATTAAAATGTTTGAGTTGGAAGTTAATTCCCATAGCTGTATATCGTATGTCCAAATTGGTTTAATGATAGCTTTATATAGGCGAATTTTATTATGGATGTCAAGTGGTACCAAAAGTAATATTCCTTCAACCTAGTATGCAAATAGGTACTAGGTTAAATGTTGTGACACAACATTTATAAAACAAATATCTTTGATCTTGGTGTTATAAAATTTTAAAATTGATTTTCTACTCATCATTAAGTTAAATACAACTTTATTACCGATCTACAGCCACAATGACCTAGCATTCATTTCTAAAAGCAGTATGGTCGTGACACAAAGACGTGCACTTGAAATCAAAGTCTTTCCCGCTAACATCGATTCACAGAACTTGAAGTACAAAAGCAGTCATCCAGTCCATAACACATTTCTATTTTCTACTTGACAACAAGGATGATTTCGAGAACGTATTGGCAATGCGCTTTGAAATAAAAGTTATCGCATATAAACGCAAGGAAACTCATTGCATCGGATGTGCAACGAGTTGAGGGACAGAAGATGAAGAAAACAGCATTTGTGCTCGAGATCATTCGCGCACATGCATCCACATTCGCCGGCTGAGGCCTTGAACTGGACTGGTTTGCGAGCAGGCCATCAAACAGCCGCGCGACACCCAGCGATGTAATCTGACAAACGGATGTAAGTACCTGATATTTGCACAATTGTTTGAATGTTAATATGTTAGAACAAATGCTTCAATGCGAAAGCAAAAACACACTTGTGACGGTAATAAAAATATTAGTTTTCACGCTCTGCACGTCTACAGTCGCACAAAACATAATATTGAACAATAGATAAAGCAATAATAACTAAAAAAAAAGATTCTTTGACAAATAATAATATAATAATAAAAAAATCTTCTTGGATAAAACTTCTTGGTTCTATAAATTAATTCATTTTAATCTAAGAGTAATTATCAATTACTTCACACGATTTAATAATAAAGCTGTAAAATGATTAATGACAAAGTACTAATTCTCTTATGAACATTTTCAAGAACAGACAGTTAACGATTTGCTCAGTTAAATTCTCAATTACACGTATCAATTATTGTTAAATGATCATTAAGAGTTATAAATATATGTTAGGTATATGATTATATAGAACCAATGGAAAGATAGAATGATTTGTTGATTTATGAAGAAAAGCATAGAAATATTAATAATAATCGTCACGACAAATCAGAGAAATTTTCACATGGACTGTAACTTTATTAATTACTTTGTTGAAAATGTATCGAAGAAACTTGATGTATCAAAGAAAATTTTTTTGTCAATTTTCCAGAACATTTCCTAGCTTCAATATTAAAACTTAATATTAGGCACATATGGCTGTCATGGTGATTAAGGGACACACCTAGTGTGAAATTTTCAAAAAATCGATTTTTCAATTTTTCCATATTTCGATAGGTTATACCTTTAAAAATAACATACTAAAATTTAAATTCATATCTCAAACAGTTTTTGTGTCACAGCCATTTATAGAGTATATATGTAGTATATAGTATAACTATCATTTTATCTTTAAATGCGTTTTTCTCGAAACAGCATTTTCCGAATTTGCTGCAGTGATTACTCAAAAACAAATGATCCGATCACTATCAATTTTTTTTTACATGTTCTATATATAGTTCTCCGTAAAATGAACTATCGATTTTTTGATCGAATCAAAAATCGAATTTTGGCAGTCCAAAAACGACCAAAATATTGGGTAAAATTCGACTTTTTTTAAAAAAAAACGCCGCCATTTTGCCAATTTTTGATTTTTTTATCGCAGGTCATTTTACAAACTATATTATCTAGTTTAACGAGAATTTTTTTTTAGATTTCATCCACCTAGAAGACCGGAATCACTGCAGCAGTGAAGAGCCGTTTTTTAGCGCCTTCGGAGATTGACAATAACATAAAAAATATTGAATTTTTTTCTTCAAAAATTTTACTATGTATTCTTAAAACATGTGTAAATATATTCTTAAAATTTTAAAATAATTGATAAAGTATTTTTTTTAATATAAATTCCCAAAAATCTTTTTTAGGCGGTTACACTAGTTGTGCTCCTTAAGGTCTTGATATAACTTATATTAATTATAATTGGATTTCGATTTCGTATTGAAATGCAAGTTTTTCGTGCTCATTGGCTTCAGAAATTTTCAATAAGTATAAAAGATATTTTATCAAAAATAGTGATTACTCAACTCGGAACATGACTAATAAAGCGCGATCATTCGAGAGAAAAACTGCAACGTTCGGCAGCGATGCGCAGCGGCGGTGCTGTCCCGATTCATCACAGACGCGGTACATTTCGCACAGTAGTGATGGGAAAATATTCATTGGCATCGTCGACATTAAAAAAAGAATTCATTACATCAAAAGTAAAGAGTTGTGTCCAGTGAACACAAAAAGCACAACTAAGAAAATCTACACCGTGTGTGGAAACTTAAGCGTGGACCTTGTTTATATGTTTATTATTAATCCAAATAGTTGGAAGAGATTGATATCAACCTTCTGCAAATATTTTTCCATCCTTATTGTTCAAATCCACCGGACATCGAAGCCACAGCACGAATGGGCGAAAAAACAACTCACAAGACGACGAGACTCACGGTTCGCTTGTGGCATACAATAAAATATACTACAATGCACCACACATTTTTATTTCGCGATTTATATAATGCGCTCTCGTACAAGTTCCAGCAGGGTAAGCTAGGTGAAAACGTTCAGCATTGTGCAACAGCCGTACATCGGTGTGAAATCATTCTACATTTCTGCTGATTAAAATTATGAAATGATAAAAAATAGGAATGCTAAACATTTTTGCTCTAATATAATTAAAAAAATAGTAATGAGATATAGAAGTCAATTTCTGGATAAAATAGGTATGTTATGGTAATGTTATGTTACGAATCTATATTCTGTAGTGGTATTCACCCCTTTGTAATAATTATAAATAATATTATAAATTACTATATAACAGTCAAAGATGAACAACGCAGTTAGTATTACTCATAGCTACATGTAAGCTTGCAGTAACCTTGCAAGTGTTGATAAAATTCCTTTTGAAACCACAAACTGCGCCTTACGACCAAGTTAAGCGTAGTTTCTGACTCACATATAACGAACATTCTAGAAAAGGATTGCGTCATACCAATAAGGAGTATTTAAGGTTCTGGATGATGCAATAAACAGTCAGTTTGAGATTAGGTTTTATGCGTAAAATATGTGACCGCACAGTAAATACATAGCTTTTTGACAGTTTGTTACTACCAACTCATACAAATATAGACCCATAAGATAGAAGTAACATAACAAATACCCATTATATCCAAAATTGGTCTCCTAATTTGGTATAATCACTTTCAGTGTCACTCATGCTCAAAACAGGTATATTTTTCAGAAATGTAATTGGAAAAAATGTCAAGCTTTTTTCGATTGCAATAAAAACTTCGACATGTTTCTTATTAATGATAAATCAATAACTACAGGTTCTGTGAGGTTCGTACGTGCTCTTTAAACAATAGGTGTACTAAAGTATATGAATAAACCAGTCTTTCTCAAAGTAGGCGATTGTAATATCCAGAGGGGCGATAAGAGACCCCTAACTAAATTTTGATACATGTATATACTGTTTTAAGTAGTTTTATTTTTTCTCACTGGTAAAATTTTCTAATTCAGAATGTAAGGTTACATCAACTAATATAGCACACTATAAATATATTATTAAAATTTAGAAAGAAATGTTTTTTTAGAGATTATATAGATATAAAAAATTTGGTAAGGGAGCGCTACAAAAATTTTGATCTTCAAAGGGGCGTTGGAAAAACTTAGTTTGAGAAACGCTGGTATAAACCATCAATTAATGTGATAAAAATATAGATGATGCAAGAATTTTACAAATTTCCAGAAATCTATCAATACCAAAACGCTTGATCATGGATTCACAGCCATAGTAATATAGCCGTGATCACAAAATGATGCGGCGACAGTAAAATTTCGCAATCAAGCCGTTGTAAAACGTCACGTTCCAAGACTGCTGCCAAAGCACAAGGTGAATGTCTCCGAATGCGTCTTGGGCAACTACACCTAGTGTTCTCTAACACACATAAACCAATTATTTAATTCCTGAGAGTAAAAAGTGTTTGTGTAGAAGCATACAGATGGATTTTCAAGGTTTTTATTTGAGGTAATTTAAGAATTTCGTAATGTTTATGGTAGTTGAAGCTAAAAGCAACAAAACAATGACATCCAAAATGTACGCCTGGGAAAATGTTGAAAATAAAAGTTGTGTACGCACACGTAAGCTACAGTCAACAATTAACGACTGATGTGTGAATTGAATTTACAATTTTGTGCAAATGGTTTTGATTTAAATCGCAAGTGTTATTTATTATATAGAAAATTCTTGTAAAATATATATTAGTAGTTCTGACAGAATTTAGTAAGTTCTAGATTCCACGAAAATCATATTGTAATTAAACTTCGATATTTAAATGTAAAACTCTATAAATAAGACAGGTAATTTCTGGCTAAGCCAGAACAAAAATAAAAAGGTTAATTTTAATTTCATCATAAATTATTTCCTTAGAAAACCCTTTACGTAAAAAGAGTATTTCCTACATCTACGAGCTTTTTTTTGCCTAAAAATATTTATATTCAAAGACGAGTGTAGGCGTAAACAATGAATTTCTTAAACAGGGTAATGATAGCACCTGCCGTTCAAAAAATTATACCGCGTGCTAATTGGCATTTATCAACACATAATAAATTTAATGAAAGAGAGTGTGGGTACGCACGCGAATTGAAATGTCATCATGTCAATGTCACTATGACCGTACGCGATAGGACAGATGAAATGCTGGTCTCTAACTTAGAGAAAACATAAATCATATTTTAGAAAGATAACTCGATTTGATTATAATACGGATTACGCTACATTTATCAAAGATAAACGGCGTCTCATAAATGCGAAATGGCAACGTGTAATTATGTTCTCCCAGTGCTAATCATGATGGCCTGGGATCCATCATTAACGATATCGATCATGGTCATTGCGTTAATTTATGTACAGTCTTTTTTGTACTTGGCAATTATAGCAATAATGACCTAGAGAACCAAGTGATCATGAAATATTTAATAATATGCACATTTGTTCTTTAAATCATAGAGAATCACAGAAATATTACATAATAGATTATTTGAATGATGAGGAATGCTTGGAAAACAGAGAAAACTTCATACCATCCTGTTCGAGCCAATCAAAGCATGCGGTTATATTGATATATAAACAAAAAATCACCAATCGATAATCATACAAAAATCAAATCAATCAATACGTTATCAAAAACAATATTGAAATTATTATAAATACGATGTAATTTATGTAATTAATATAAAATAAATATTACTAATTACAAATTAAAGTATTTTATAATTGGTCCTTCAAAAAGCAAAGCAATCAATCACAACAACCATCCAAAAAAAACATTGGTCCTTCGAGCCGGATGTGACGTCCAGCAATCGAAGGAAATAGAATACATCAAATTGGAAGCAAAGAAGCAAAATCAGGTTACTTAAAACTAACAATTTTTTCAATTACAATCCGTGTCAAAATGGAATCATTAAAATCACTAAAAATGAAACAACCATTGAAATAACACATCCCGAGATTTCAAGAAATAAAAAGTTTACACTTATTTTATTAACTTACTTGAATCCTTTATCATCATCAACTCCGTTGACTTGTCCATTTTGCTGCAGGCAACAATCTTCCTTTTTGCCATTGACGTCAAATGGGCTGCCACCCTTGTTGTCCTTATTATTAGCGCTCGAATTTTGTGTCTGATTTTGCCCTTGTGCTTCTTGTTTGACATCGTTGTTACCAGCTGGGCTCTCTTTGGCCGTAGGGGATCCACCTAATACATATTCCACCATTTTTACACCTAGACCGCTCGTTGAATCGCGTGGTGACAATATGGAAGCATTGTCAGCGCCACTGCTGCCGATCTGAGCAGGAAATGCACGACGAGAAGACATCATAGCTTGTGACACTTCTGCAAAATAACAAAGTTCATGTAAGTTATTTTCTGACTGTAGTATTGCGTTTAAGAAAGTTATGAGAAAGATGTGAAGGCGTTGTGTCGTATTGGTAAAACTTGCAGGAAGGTGCATCGTCATGCACAACCCACTGAAAGATAGAAGTTAAAAATATAGTAATAGTAAGAGAAAATCAAAAGCAACCGAAAAACCAATAACTAGTAGAAATAATAGTAGAAATATAAGCAATTGATCTAACTAATTTATTATATTTTAAATATAATTAATTTTATGCAAATGGTTTGTATGAATTATTTTGTTAAAATAAAAAAATTCTAGTTTAGTGAATTTCATAGACAAACTAGTTGCTGTTTAAATTGCTAAAATATCATTCATATAAGTATAAAACAGATACATTTAAGGATTTTTCTTTAAACGATACATTAAGGTATATAAATCAATATTTGAAATCGATTTGGTTCAATATCAGAGTTAATAATTGTATCTCTATGCAAATTTAGTTTTTTGTATCCATTTGGCAACCTCAACAAATTTATATTCCTCTGCGAGTTAAATTCTTGGAAATATGAAAACGATACAACATCCACGGAGAAACTTATTGCTCTTATGACCATAATGTAGATGTAGATACTTTATATTTGATTTAAATTATATAGAGCCTTAAATTGTTAATTTATTTTTTTAGCCTTAAATTATAATTTTTTTTTTTTATTCATATTTAAATTTCAATCTGTCTTATGATTAAAAGACACTCAGTAATTATTCTGAGATTTTTCAAAGCTGTAAAGTTTTTAGAGAGCTCCCCATTTGTAAG